TTTTCTTTTCACTTTCCTCTCTGTGGAAAAGTTTGTCTCCAGGACCCGGGTGGGGAAAAGAGAGAGGGAGAGGTTTGCTGGAACTTGGGAGTGTTTTGYTCCCATTAAATTCATTCAAACCACTACAGATGTCTCAAGGTTCTTCAAAGAAGAGGCAGTGCTACACTGTGTAGGCCTTGTTCACTCTCAAAAAGAACTTGAGARCTTGGAAAAGCTTTGTGGAGTGGTTTGTATCTATCCTACAGGTGCCCTGAAATTTTTTTATTTGTGTTTCTGAGTTTGCTTTAATGGTGTTTCTCCAGCACCTGTCGCCACCCTGAAGTCCAGTGTGTTGTGCAGACCCTGACACTTTGGTCAGCCAGTGGTCATCCTCCATCMCTTGGGAAGAAAAACCACGCTGGGTGTGTGCTGCCAGCTTTAACACCAGTGATAAAACCTGGCTGGCCTTTTAAATGGAAATCCCTGTGCCAGGCAGGCCAGCACGAGGCTGCTCTGCTCCACAGGGAAGTGCTGATTTCACATCCAAACCCGCTCTGGATCTGCAGGGCGAAGGGAGAGCGGCAGGGATTAACCCCTGGGTTTGTCCAGGTGAGCTAAAAGTGGGAAGATGAGTCCTGAATGTATCTGCACTCCCAGATCAACTCAGGCACAGCCCCAAGTGGCTCAGGGAAAAATAAAAAAACAGGTCATATTTGATGTTTTTTGATTCTACAGAACTGGGAAAGTCCCTGCCAGGGTTGATTTCTCTGCCCATCTCCTGGAAAGCAGATATGGTACAGACAACACAGCATGGCCTGGGAGACAACTGAAACAAGAAAAGCCCAGTGTATTCTAAAAAAGCACTCCATCAACACCACCTTTTGTCAGGGAAAGCAGGAGGGATGGTTTTCACTRTCAGGGGTGTGAAGAAGCCCTGCAAACCTTCTGCCTAAAGCCACAAGTGTAAAAAATGCTCCTTCTTCTGTTCCTCGCCCCAGATCTCTTCTTCCCTTTGGCACCGCTGCTACTTCTTTTTGCCTTGGGCAGCATTAGGACAATTCCAGGGTTTTTGAGCACCTGAGTGTTGATAGTGGAAGTTTGAAGGTGGTGAGGGGTGCATGGGGTGGCTGAATGGGGTCACAGCCCCTTGCCCAGGCACCAGGCTCTGCCTGGGAGAAGGTGAGAGGAAGACACGGGGATTTCTCCCACAAGCTGACATGGGAATCYCTGAAAGTGGATTTCTGTCCACAGAAACAGACACTTCCCAGCTTTTTCAATGGGAAAGTCCTTGAAATAATCCCCACAGGACTGATTCCACACCCTGGTTCTGTCCTTCCAGCCCACCCGAGACCAAAAACCCATTTCCACGCGTATCTSAAATCTGTGYTTYGGGGTCCTGCAGAGCACAGMTTTCCCCACCCAAMCCCAAACCCAACCCCAACCCCAACCTGGGTGAAGATGGACCTTCAGACCGACCCCATGGCTGTCCCTACCTGGCACCGATGTCCCCAGGGCGACGAAGACGACGGCGGTGACCGAGTCCTTGAGGCCGATGGTGCAGCCGAAGTGTGACGCCAGGTCGCCGATGAAGGCGGTCAGGAGGCCGATCATCAGGATGGACACCACGAAGCAAGCCCAGCCGTTCCAGTAGTCTGTCGGGGGCACGAAGGCGAAAAGGACCTTCCAGAAGACGGTCAGAAAGTGCATCACGTAGTCGAAGCAGGAGGGCAGCTTCTCCTCCCCACATTCATCGTCGTCGTCGTCTTCCCCTGGAGAAAAACCAGCAGCACCTGGTTAGATTGGCTCATCCTGGGCATTGTGCGTCCTGCAGCCCCCAAAATGCTGTGCCTCGTGATTTGGGCCCTAGAATTTCCAAATATCTTCATTTCTGGGTGATCTCAGAGTGGCTCAGAGGCCTTTTCTTGCTCCTATTCCTTTGTTTAACAAAACACAACCTGCACTTCAGGAAATGCAGAGCCTCGTGCCAGCACCTCTGCCTGAATTTAACCATCAGGTGCTTTTTGGGACTCAGCCCCTGCTCAAGAGTTCTTTCTCCAGAAGATTTGGGAAATAACCACCCTCGTGCTGGCTGGGGCAGCAGAACCCACCAAGAGCAACTCCTGCCTCATGGAGGCTCCCCCAAAAAAGGCCCTTTGGAGCTGCTTCCAGCTGCTTTCCAAAAATACCTGCAGCTGGTTTTGATGGTTGCTGAGCTGCTCTGGTGCTTCACCTTACCTTTTCTGCAAAATGGGATCCACTGATGGATTTTCACAGCCCTAAAACCTCGCTGGTCACTCACTGCTGGCTGTCCTTCCCTGCTGCATCTCCCTGCCCCTTCTCATGCTTCCATTGCACTTTGTTTGGTGATTTTCCACATCTTTTGATGATTTTTTTTTTACCCCACCAAGCATGTGGACCACCAGGTCTCATCCTGCATGGCTCTTGGAAGAAGCCCTTTCCCAACAGGAAGAAAATCCGAGCTCTAGAGCTTCACCCTCACTATGGCAAAACCAGTAGCTAATATTCAGTGTTAATATTTTGGCAGATATAAATATTTATTCCTGTTGTGAAGGTAAGGAACAGTTTTCCAGCCTGGAAAACGTTGGCCTGCGTTTTTCCTCAGCATGCAAAGGCTGCTAGAGGCAGGACACCCCGTGCTGTAATTTTGCAGCAGGTATTTGGATCCTCTGCCAAGCTGGGGGTGGCATCAGGACCGAAATCTTTGTGGAGATGATGAGACAGACTGAAAAATGAACACGAATGCCACTGTCACAGCACTCATCCAGATCTGTCCATCATTTTGTTAARCAGCCATGATGTCTCTCTTCTGAGRAGGTGCCCAGATCCTGCAGAGGGGACGCAAAACATGCATAGGGGTCCATCCAGAAACAGGCCTGCAAGCCCCAGAATGTTTCTGCTGAGGAAGATTCTTGGTAGCTTTTGGATGCAGACTAAAGGAGCTGTGAGTGACAGGCTCTGGAATGGCACAGCCAAGTGTGGCACAGACACGCTGCACAGACCTCACCCCCATGAAACCTCAGCTGCTCACTGGGTGGGAAATGGGGTTTAATGTTTTTTTTCTCAGCCAGGGTGTCACATTTTGAAGGGGTGATGGGTGATTTTCACCTGATATCCACGGTGAGCTCTGGGGGAAAAACTCAAACCCAACCTCCAGGGTCTGAAGCATTTTAACTTGTGTGGCACCGAGCTTGAGGAGCTAAAGCCAAACTAGTGATCCACCGCTGCAAGGGGCAGCTCATGCCCACCAAAACACATCCCATTAATTAAATACTTGTTAATCATCTGTTAGCACTGATCAGKGCTGTGAATTCCAGACATGGAGGGAACGGGGTTCCACGTAACCGCGGTCTCTGCGTGCGTCACCGAGACGGGACCCAACCAACCATCAGCCACTCTCTCCGTTTTAATTGGGATGCAATTAAATAATCGGTTCTGGCATAGATTAGTTTACCCACATTAGCTACAAAACCTGCAGCGAGGATTGTCTGGCACGATAAGTTCATGCTGGATCCGAAATAATGGGAGGCTCTTGCCTGGAGGCTCTGAGAGGAGGGATCACAATTTGAGGAGAAAGCTGCTGTACAACGTCCTGCCCTCCTTTCCAGAGGCACAGGGCGAGCGCTGCTGCCATCATTTTTAATTATTTGTGCTGGGCAGAGGTCACCTCGTCCAGCAGAGCTCCAGGTAGGGAGCTGAGCGCTCCCCTGTGTGTTTCAGTGCCCAGCTAGCCAAGATGAGATGTAATTGCCTTCTCCAGTGATTTAGTTTTAGTGATTGAGGTATGGATTTTGCTTAGGGGGCTGTACGTGAAGTTTTTTTATTTTAAATAAATTTTGGGGTTTTTTTACAATAATTTAAATTATTAACAATTAGTTTTTATTTTGTATATAATATATAGTATATGGGTAAAATTTGTTCTTCTTTTGTTCCCCTTCTCATTTCTTTTATGTTCTTTTCCCGTATCTGGGGATATGGAAAAAAYGAGAAGAGGAGCAAGAGAAGAACAAAATTTACCCATATACCATGGTATTTCACATAGTATGTGAAATAAAAAAAACCTAATTATTAATTATTTAAATKATTATAAAAAATAAAATTTCTTTRGAATGAGTGGCATTGTGTGCAGCCTCCTGGGCAGATGTCTYAATCAGGGGTTGCAATAAATTTCASGGCYRATTTYGGCTCAGGCTTTGTCACCCTTGTYCTCAGCAGAGGTTCAGGGGGAGCTGGGGACAGGGACAGTGTCATTCCTGCAGCTCTGCATTCCCCCATGGGTGGCTTTTCCCCCCGCTCCGTCTGGTGCCAGCCGAGGCGCTGCTCCGAAGGGTTCCCACACGCGCCACGAGGGCTCCAACCYGCTGCCTTGTTTGTGCTGGAAATAACTCTGCCACCTGCTCTGCCTCCTGCTGCTCCTCTGCAGCCCGAATTGGTGACGGAGCCGAGGAGCGATGGCGATGGAAATTCCGAACTCACCCGCGCTGACGGTGATGGCCTCGATGAACTGCTCCCTCCAGCTGTTGGTGCCAACCACCAGGGCCAGGTTYGTCTTCTTAATGAGCTTGTCCACCGTGTTCTGTGGATGGAGAGGCGGAGCAGGGAATGAGGGCCTGGAGAAACTGGGCTAAAACCCGCCAGAGCCGCTGCTTATAGCTGTGGGTTTGTGGAACAAGCTTRGATTTTAAGCTCAAGAGCCCCAGCAGCAAACTCAAATGTAAGCACTTGCTTCACTGTTTAAAAAGACTTTTTTAAATCTGCTCATGGATGGGAGCTTGAACCATCCCAGAGCCACAGMAAGGGTGGCCTGTTATATTTTTTATATTACAGAAAAATGGGAAAGATAAGGAAATGGCTGTTTTTCAGCTCTTGGCCTGGCACAGGCGTTCAGGGCGGCTRAGCTGCACAATGATCACTTGCATTTGGGGTATCAGCCCTCTGCACTGGGACTGCCAGGCTTGGGGCTCACTCCAGGCTGCCTGTGAGCAGGATCAGTGTGCAGAATCCACTGTGAGGACAGGATTATGCTTCAAAGCAGCCTGCAGCAATCGGGATCCCTGTGAGTGATTCCATTCCCTGCCTCGCTTGGCTCCGACACTCTCAACATGTCCCTCCCAACACAAACCCAAAATGAGTGTCCCCAGCCAGTGGGGGAAGAAAACCAGGGACAGATGGTGTGGACAGTACCTTGAACTCGTAGGATTCCTCGATGATGATCTCGAGTTTGGTGTGCTCCCCCAGGACYGGGCGCCCCATCTCCGCGATCCGACGCTCCTCCTCCTCCTTGCTGGTCAGGGGCTGCTTCTCCTCGCTCTCCTCTGCAAAGCAAAGAGCCCGTGGGTGAACCAGGCCCAGCTGGTCACTCTGGATCCGCTTTCCTGGCAGAGGGGGAGGTCAGGGAATCTCAGGGTGAGAGACAGAACAGCGAGAAGGAGCTCATGGAGCGACAGACAGGACAGTTTTATGAAATGCCAGTGAGAGGTCTGCAGCTCAGAGGAGGATCTCAGGAGGATCCAGCTCATGAGGATCCAAACTCAGGATCCAAACTCAGGAGGATCCAGCTCATCCTGGGGCTGGGGAACAGCTTTTTGCTCGGTGATGCTGTCTGTCCCACAGGGATGCTGGGAAGGGGAATGATCCATCCCTGAGGCTGCTCCATTTCCCAGCACTGAGGCGTGGGCAGRGCAATTCCTCAAGCCAGCTACAACATGAGAGCACTGCCAGGGCTGAGGTGCACAGGAATTCCTGGCTCTGCAGCCTCTGGGGCATGGGGACTGCAGGCAGMGTGGCCTTTGTCACCGTCCCTCGTGCAGAGCACACTGAGCTCCCTTCCARYRCCCCTGAGGGACGGACAGAAGGACRTKGGGGCTAAAAAGGAYGAGTTAATCTGTCAGTCCGWGYGGGACTGACACACTGCAGGTACCTGGGATGGAGACCACGGAGCAAGGAAGAGGATGATCTCTAGCCTGGACCTTCCTGAAGACGGGTTTGCCTATTGAGGGGATCAGCAGGAGGTCAGTGGGGACACCGATGGCACCGTGCACGCCRTCCCCGTGCTGTTAGTGCACTCCACTCCGGTGTCACACGGGGTTAGTGCTGCTCCCTTGGTGCCACAGAGTCAAGGGAAAGCCCTTTTCCTGCTGCTGGCCAAAGGGACCCACCTGGGAGCCACAGCCTCCTAAGCCTGGATTACATTTCCAGGGCTCCCTGCAAGGTGTGGGACCCAGGAAATTCTCGTCCTGCACTGCTYAGCCCAGTGAGGGAGGCTTGGCTGGCTCAGGGCACACGAGCCAGGGGATGTGGGCTGCACCTCCTGCACCTCCTGGGAGGTGAGGACAGAGCCCTGGAGGGCACGACTGGATCAAGTGGAGAAGCCCATCCTGCTCTGAGAGATGGAGCGGGGTGGCTTGTCCCCTCTGGAGGGTGACAGGTCACCCTCCCCGGGGTGGGGTTAGGTGTGTGGGGCAGGCAGAGCACTCTGTGAGAGGACACGGCGTTAACGGGACCGGCTGGGGTGGGGATAAGGCTCAGAGCCTTCTTACCATTCCAGAGTTTCCCTTCAGGACACAACAAAAGCAAAGAGGAAACCAAGAGGAAAGAGCGGGGTGAGAATATGGCCATCAAGGGAAAGGAATGAGGGGACAGGGGAGGAGTAGAAATCCATACCTGTGATGGTGAAGCCGCCTGGATGGAACCGAAAATGAGAAAAAGAGAGAGAGAGAGAGAGAGAGAGAATAAATGAGGATTAGCATTGGAATATCGACACGGACACGGTGGTGCTTCCCTGCCCCACTGTGGACACGGGGGCTGCTCCCCAACACACACCCCAGGGATCTGTGGGGACACCTGAGCACAGGATTTTCAACCCACATCTGCCACCCCTCAGTGTCCAACATCTGCTGTGGGAGGGGTAAAACCAACACAAGTCTGCCCCAGGGCTTTGGGGAACAAGGGCAGCTCTGCTTCCCTCCCCATCTGCCCCATCCTGGAAGTGGCCAGCAAGGAAATTCAGGGGCTGGTGAGGCTCTAGGCCACCCCAAGACTGGAGAAAAAGTTTGTGCTGCCTCTTCCTGTCCTGTCACAACCATCCCTAAGTGGCCAGGAAATCCTGTTTCTGCCAGGGAATTTAATTTGCAGGGCACAGGTTTGTATCTCGGGCAGGTTTGTTCTGTCACCACCCCCTAAAAATTCTCCTTGCACCCCTTGTTAATATTGGTGACTTTGGGGCTTTACTCCAAAAAGATGGGGTATTAAGCACATGAGCTTACTCAAACAGTGCTGACCACCCTAAAAGAGAATGCTGTGAGCAAAAAATAAGGTCAAGCAACATCGAGCGTCTTCCAAAAAACACGCAAAAACCGGAAAAAATGGGAAGGAGAAATGAATGCGCGCTTACCAAGCTCATTCAACAACAGGGCTGTGAAGGAGACAGAGACAAACACAGAAGAAGAAAAGTAAATGAATAATGAAATCAAAAGGGATATCCACAGAAAGACACCAGATCCCAGGGCAGAGGTTTCAGATCTGTAAAGCTGCAGGATACCGTTAGCGTTGAGAGAAAGACACTTAAAAATAAAGGAATGGAAATGTTTTGGGGGATTGTGGATGTAAAATGAAACAAAAAAAAACCACTGCAAACACATGGGGTGGKTATGGCATTAAGAGACACACTCCCAAAAATTCATTTTCCCCCTTTGAATTGCAGGTGCAAGATCTTCCATTGGTCTCGGAGGCAGCTCTGCCCCGGGGAGGGGACACAAAATGTCCCAAATGCAGCAGCTTCTGGCTTTGACCTCCTCCTGATGGGSAGCAATGGCTCCGGCTGCAGCTGCACTTTTGGCACAGACTGTGACAGAAGGAAAGTCTGGGGCAAGGCTTGGCTCTGGKATCTTCTTGTGCAACGTTTTAGGTCTCCAAAATGAAGGAAAAAGCCTCTCAGTGCCCTGGTGGATCTTGGGTCCTGATTTCAGTGGTGCCCTCGTCTCTCTGAGCACACTGCTCCTSCTTCTTGTACAAAACCAGGTACAAAGGAACGAGTTTAAATGAAAAATTGCATGGCCAGAGCAGCAAATAGCTGCTTTAAGCAGTCCTTTATAGTTTTATCTTCCAAGCTAGTGAGTTTGCAAAGCTGAGCTTCTCTGAGGTTTCCTCAGTTACCTTTGTGACCAGAAAGATTTGAAGTTTATTTCCTTTTCCTTTTTACTTTTAGTTAAAAAATTTCAGCTGCGACCACAATTCTTAACCCCATTGAGGGCCCTTTCTGCTCTGATCGAACAATTACAGCCCCATGCCTGCTGCAGGGAGAGCTGATGGATGCCCCAGGGACCAAAAAACAGCTCCAGAGCAGACAGACCAATCTTCTGCAAGGGCTTTAATGATGGTTCATATCTTAAATAACTCTAAAAGTGCTTCTTGCCCAGCCACCASGAGTGTGCAGAACCAGCTGTTGCCATTAATCCTCACTCAGTTTTCTAGCAGGAAAAAAAAAATGCACAGGGAAACAGGTGAACTCTGTCTTTTTGGGGAGTTTAGCGCTCGGTTTAGAACTGTGATGAAAGAGGAAATTGTTTTTATTATTCCTGYGAGAAGCTATTATCCAATGCAGAGCCATGAAACTTCATTTGGGCATAACCTGATTTACCTAAAGTGATTGCCTCTCATGGCATCACCTACTCGGGCTGTGATTTTGGTCTATTTTCAGCCCCTAGTGCCGGTGTAAAAAGGCTAAAATTGCTGCTCTGGCCACGAATTTTGTTTCAGCAGAGTTGTATTTTTTTACCAATAAAAATGGGATGTTGTCCTGGATTGAATCAGGGTGCAGCAGGGCAGCACTCCCAAAACCTCTCAGTGGGCTCCTGATCGGAGGGTGGGACAGAATCCTCTCCAAACCAAAGAGGAAAGGCAAACAGAGCAAAAAGGTGCAGCGGCCAAGCTTCGAAGGAGGGAGGGCAAAAGGGCCAGGAGGCCGAAGGGGCGAGGAGAAAAGGAGTGTGAGAGTCGGGAGACACAGAGAAAGCGGCAGCGTCTGAGAGCCCGCCTGGTTCGTGCTCTCACACCTTTCACTCCTCGTCGTAGCCACACCGGGTCCCCGAGCACAAGGAAGAAACTGCACTCTTTCTCATACTCCTCCCGGTCAAGCACCCTAAGGGTAATGAATTTCCTGTGGGAACACAAGACAGAGGCAAACACATGATTGGCACGCTCACATGCGGGTCACGACCGCCCGGGCGGCTGCTGCGGTGACAGAGATGCTGGGGACAGGGAAAAATGGGCTTCACATCCCCCCCTGAGCGTGTGGGGAAAGGCAGGAAAATCCTCCTGTGCGAGGATGAGGAGCAGCATCGCTCCTGCCCTTCTCCACAGGCGCCGGGGATGCGAGCTCGGTGCTGCAGGTTTCCAAAAATGAGTGAGGCAGACAGGGACACACGGGCTGGGCTCGGCCCCGGAGCACTCCCCCCACCTTTCTTCTCACTCATCTCCACCAGCCGGGGCTCCCCGATCTCTAGGTAGAAGGTCTTGTTTTTCTCATACTCCTCATCATCTATCACCTTGATCGATACCGTTTTGCTGGAACAGAGAAGAAGAAATAGAGGTTCAAGAGTAAGGGGGGAAAAGGGAGGAGGGGGAACGGGGAGAAGAACAGGAGAAGGAGAGGAAGGGAGAGGAGGAAGGCAGGAAGAGCAGGAGGAGGGGGMTGTGGACAGAAAACAGGTTTTGGTGGCACAGGCTGGAGGGACAGCACAGCCAAAAGCAAAGGGGCTGACRGGCCAAGCTTGCCTCAGGATGGACCACCAGGATGACCACGGTGGCAACCTGCAGGTGCCACCCATCCTGGGAACGACACAGCCTGGGCCACCCTCCCCAGAGGGGTCTGGGTGTGACATTTTCCCTTGCCAAAAACCCACGGTACACAACAGCCCCTTGCACACCTTGCACCTCCCCAGGCTCRGCAGATTCATGAACATCGTGATCAGTGCTCAGTTTGGGCTCTGGAGGCTCTGATTTACGAGCTTGAAAGGGATGTTGGAGTCAGGGCTTTTTCCAGGAAGGGAATGTAAAGGAAAAATGGCTTTTCTGGTCAGGGCAGGGTGAYAGGAAACTTCACTGATGTGAGATTTTACTCTTTAAATTTCTTTTTACAAGCAGCACATCCCTTCCCAAGCTTTCGAGGTTTAGTCCTCTCCTGCTGGAGAGCCAAGCAGCAATTCCCTCTCACATGACCCCGGGATGCTGAATTTGTCCCTGGAGCATCCCTGGGACAGATCCAAAGGCAGAGTCAGCGCTCAGAGCACGGCCACAAACACAGAAACTGAAAACCTTCAAGGAGGACTGTGGCCACCAGGAGATTCACTCCTCGAGCCACCAAGYAAAGTCAAAAATGCTCTTCCAGGGGGAAAAAAATCAGCACAGAAATTTTTCAGCTATTTCCAGGAACCACAGAGATGCATCTGCTTGCCAGGAGATGAACAAACCCAGGGTGCAAATGTGGGGTGCGGGTCCTGTGCTACCACGTCCTTCCTACAGCACAAATTCCATGCAAAGACAAGACATGAGGAGAAATCCAGAAATCCCTGGAGCTCTGCTCCCTGTGAGGACAGGACCTCCTCCTGCCTCTCATCTCCATCCAGACAAAAATGAGAAGGAGCAACAGCACAAACCAAAAAGCTGAAGCAGTGACTGCAGCCCTGCTCTTGCTGCTGTTTGTTCTTACCCGAACCAGCTCCTGCTCCCTGCCCAATCCTGTCTGCCCTGTCCTCTGGAGGAACATTTCTGGCCTCATCCCCATCTCCCCTGCATTTCCCACAAGCTCCCAGCCCAGGCTGAAGCAGCCCTGAGGAKGTTCTGCCKCTCCTGGCAGCTCCCAGCGCCGAGMACCCATGAGGATGGAAGAAATCCACGCTCCAGGGGAGTGGAGCTGAGGCCAGGCTGCTGTAATTTCTGCCTCCCTCCCCTCCCTGCACATCTGCACAGCCACCCAGASCCCCTCTGTTAAGCTGACAAGGATTTGGCAGCAGAGCCAACGTTTTTACTCGTTCAGGGTAAACACCTCGAGCGCTCGAGGAGCAGCCAGGATGATTTCTCGTGCTGTTTGCCGTGAGTCAGGAGAGCATTAAGTTTGCCCTTCATGCTTTTAATGAAACCATTTACTCAAGAGCTGTGGAAAGTGTAACAATGCAGCGCTGTGTAATTGTATTTTATAATGAATATCCGTAATAATTTGTTCGGTTTGTAATTATTGCTGCAATAGGTTTGTACATATTAAAAATGGTTACCGAGCAGGCAGCTGATCTTGCTTTGCCTTGATGAGTTAGGGGAAATTATCACGTATTAAAAAAACTAATGAAGGATATAAAAATGCTCTCAGTTAAGCTTTCAGAGAGAACCTGATAGAATTACCAGAATGGCACGGTTTCAGAAGCATTGCTAACGAAATCAATAATTTTCCTGACAACTCCCATTAAAATGTACACTGCATCCTGGCCTCATGCAGGAAAAAAAAACCACCCTCAGGAAAGTAAATTAAGAGAGGGGCCTCTTTAAATTCTGAGGGCAGCAGAGGCATCAGGACATTAAACTTCCTATGGGTGTGCTCTGGCTTGGTGCCAATTAAAAGATAAATTTTTGATGGACAGATGCAACACCAACAGGATTTCACCGAATAAAGCAGAATAATGGGGCTTGAAGTGCCACTGCCAGGAGGTGGTGGTGTTATGCAGTTTTCCAAGTGATCATTTTAGGATGTGAACAAGTGCCCTGCATTGGGCAGACTCTGCTGCTGTTTCTGCTGAAAAAAAAAAAAAAAAAAAAAAA